TTACGGTAATAGACCAGGTCTCTTTAAACCTTTCCATACTTTTATAAACCTAAATGGTTTAAGTACTACACAGCATGACCCATTCCTATTCCTGAAGATATTAAATGAGACTCATTCACGATACTCGTATAAATACGCTTTCTATTTCACTGTATCACATTTCAATTTGTAACGGATGTCTTTGAATAACTTGTGTGTCGTCCTCGTAGTATTAGATCCGTAGAAGAGTGTTTGTGTTAGCCGAAACCAGAGGAAACCAAAAACCAACAATTTTTGGGTGACGAACAGTCAAAACATTCTCTCTTTGATACGGTTTCTCCGACAGGTTTTGTTTAAGGTTCACCTTCCAAAGGGGTCGAAATGTCGTCAACCTAAAATTGTTTTTTTGTCTCTCTCGTTGTGGCTAATCCAAACACTTCTATACATATCTAGCACTTTCTATCTACTAAAAATATGCAAGATAATCGTGTTGTGCTTTAAGAGCCCAGAAATCACGTTACGCAAGTTGGGCACCTGCAGAAGGAGCAGATTGTTTTAAAGTCACTGAATCTGTTGACCGTGACTAAGAGAAGAGTGGGACAGTATAGCGAAACCCGTCACCGCTGCACAAAGGGCAAAAACGCGGGTTAACAACAGTTAGCAAATAGTGCCACTCTTTTCATCTGAACCAGTGTGTACCTGTGGTAGTTAATAAAGTGTCCTTGTGTGATATTCTCTCACGCATCTGCAAACAGCTTCCTGTGAATGAAATAAACTGGCAAAATCATTTAGGAAAGTGGGAGATCTTTTTTGTAGAAATCTGTGATTTATAATTTGATATACTTGCTTACAAAATCGAGATCAATCGAAATGGTGAATATCGAAATGCTAACTAGTGAGTATACGGAATGAGCCTGAGGTTGATCGAAGGTTGCCCAGGGACATCAATGACTGGGAAAATCAAACTCTCGTCATGATATGGAGCAACGCCAAAATGCCCATGAACTCCATCATTCGAACGAAATCTGGATGATCTTAGATATCAGAATCTAGATTCGAATCTCAGGGTCCGGATATCTACAAATCCATATCTTCATGATGCCTTGTCATCCACTCATAAAATAAATTTAGGTGAGAAGTAAAAGTAACCAAAACTGACAGAAAACAGTGACAGTGAACGACTGATGTTTTCCTTGAAATAAGTTAGGAGAGATTTTGATATTTGATTGAAAAATCTTTGTGCGTAGGTCAGTGGAAACTAACGAGAACATCTTTAAGATTTTCTCGCCTTTATGAATATCAACAAGTGCAAACAGTCAACAACTACAAGTGCATGCACATCGATTAATCGGTCATCGAGACCTGTCTTACAAAGCAAGACCGTTTTTGACTGAATAATGTCATCATCACACGTTGTAAGAAAACCAGTAGCTCACAAGATCGTTTTCAGTGATTCATACCCTGAGTAACACAATAAAATGTACACCAAAATGGTTCATTGGCGCGAAGTGCAATGTCTGACCCAGGAAATAGTTTTAAATGTAGTCCACGTAAAATAACTCAGTCTTTATCGCCTAACGGCAAAGAGGGATAGGAATCACGTTTCCTGGGAATTTCGGTTTTATGCGGTATTACGAGCAATTAAGAAATCACCATCACAAGGACCTCGCTTGTATCCCCTCGGGCTGGCTGAATTCAGACTGTGATTGGTTAAGTTGGAGAAGCCAAAAAAGTCTTGTGTGAATATTCTCCTCGTTATCTGGCTTACCTTACTGGATTCCGCAGTCTTACTAAGGGGAGCATGGGTTGATGTGACGGTCTCATACTCCGTCAGCTTTTGCCATTCATTAGGTTCAGTCGCTCATAAAATAAGTATTCAAACGGNGCCGTTTTGAAAATTTTATATCATTGTGTGCTGAACAGTAGATCACAACAGGATAGCCGTAAAAACAAGAGTGAAAAATTATTTAAACCCAAACACAGAATTATAGTAATGTGGGTTTTGACCAACGAAAGTATACTTTCACAAATCTCAGGTACAACCTCCCACGAACAAAGCTATGCTCACCCAGTACTAAATGTTCTGTTCATTCATAATAGGAGCCTGTTGAGATGTCATGCATTAGGTTAGTCCAATTCTCTCACGTGTGACGACAACGGTGAATGAGCAGTGTACGATATGGTGCAGCAGGCTTCCACGAGTCATCTAGTCGCATAAATTACCCGTTGTGTCAGAGTTCCAATTCTGATGGATTTTATAGCAATGATTTGTTAAAAATTGCTCGCAATGATGAAGTCACTATGTAGTGCTTTTAACTTGTTTCGGTGGTGAGTGACATATTAACTGTACACTTTTATAAATACAATACACTCCCCAAGTATTTCGAGATTGATTGCGGCTTGCTATGTGGATGCATCGATGTCAAATTTACGAACAGAAAGTGATTAAGAGAACCATTCTGTTTGAAAACGCATTGCGAGCAGGAAATGGGGGAAGACAAAAGTAGTACACGAAATTTAACAATCGAAATCTTCATTCATTTTCTTATCGTGGGGCTTGAAAAGATGATCATAAGTGAACAGTATTGAAAGTTTGCATCATTAGCAACGTCCGCACACGCACATACAAAGCGAATGTGTTTATGTGAAAAAATGGCTCACCGCTCCAATTTATCCCCTCGTAGTGTACCGTCTCTGTGTTGTTCCAGTAAAGACTCATAGTGTTCTCGGATTTCCCTCATTCTTCGTTCATCTGCATCCGATTTTGAGGCATTTTTGTAGAAGGTCAAATCTTCCAACACCGTTTTCAGTTCACTTTCAACCCGTCCGCGTAATTCCGATTCCGTTTGGAGTTCCTGGTCATTGGAACCGTGCAATATTATAGGGATACAAACGAACCTCTTTGAGTGAGTCTAGTTGAGCCTCAAGATTCCGAAAGCATTGATTCTGATAAAGACCCGTCGTGGATTGTTCACTGCGAATACGGGACAATTTTAGCGTTTCCCTTTTCAGATCTTCCAGTTCATTTCTCATGGATCGTATTTTATCCTTTTTTGGTGTAATATAATTGAGGTCTTTGACATTTGGCCCCGCTTACCACTTCATCCTGTAGGTGATCCTGAATGCTTTTCACCTGGCTCATATCGAAAAAATTCATCTTTTCTTTCAATGAAAAGGGAATGCTTTCTAAAACAAAGAGAAAAACGGTTTTATTCGTCGATACTATCTGAGCTGTTTCTATCCTTTCTATGTAGCTAAAAACGTATTTGATTATATACAGTACTTCCCATCCAAAATAGATCAAGTAATTAAGTATAAATTACATTAAATAAACCAGTTTTAACCATAGACAACACAGAAACGCGATGCAAAGAAATACGTGCGGAACCTGTCTTTCAGGCTGCAATATCAAACGTGGCGGTCGGTCAGCGATATCAAAAGAAGTAGCACCTAAACGAAATCTATGTAGTTCGCTCCGTTATTCATTACCAGTATCAATTGAAATGCATGCTGTGAGCATGGGAGAGAGCAGTGAAGTTTGTTTTGAGGTACTACTCATATTTATGAGTAGCGTCACGTTAGTATGAGTAGCGTATAGACACCCATGAAAACGCGGATAGTGGATTCTCACTGCATATGGGAGCGAATTAAAGGATTCGCTATTTTTACTGCAGAAAATGCGAAAAGAACGCTGAACTTTTTGACCACTGATCAAAAGCCTTTCATGAAATCACGAACCAACTAATGCCGATTAAATGTTCGTTCTGTGTAACCCACTTTGGACTTTTTCCATGTCCTTCTTCCAATTAATGATTATTTTCAGTCCGACGCTGGTCTGATGTGCAGAATGATAAATAAGTTTTTAAATGCGAACAACATAGGTATTGCTCTTGCGTTTTGAACTAAAGGAATTACTTTAAAACACCATATTTCAACCGCCTCGAAACGAGATTCAACAACACACACACCAGGTTTAATGCATTCCGATTCAAATATTCCTACAACTTATTTCAGCGTCTCCAGTACACCGACTCGTTTATTCCAATGACCAATCTTGTGTTTAGGTCAATTTATACCAGATTTCCAGAAAAGGCGGGCAGTTAAAGTTAGCGTTGGAGATCAATTCCGTCGGACCATTATAAGATGCTTGGCTCGGGTGTGCGGCAGGATGTTATCCGTGAACGGATACACCAGACAACCGCAAGTGGGCCGAGTCTAGGTGTGGGCTAGAACCGTCGATTGACCGTTCCAGCATGACTGTCGACAGCCAGGACGTGATCCGTGAAGAGGGTGAACTGACAACCTGAAAGAGAGGACAATATGAACACCATGAACCAAAAGGTGCACTGAGATATAAACACGACTCATAATCAAACGGAATGGCAAGTTGCTGAGGTCGTTACACCATTTACGTTTTCGCCCTTTTCGAAATAACGCTCGTCAAACAAAACCGAAAATAATGAAATAAAACAATTATCAGTTCGGTTCAGTTTGCACAGGACGATGTGTAGCTCAAGCCATTCGTGCATCCAGATGTATGTTTTGTTGACTGATCTTGTGGCCTCCAACACTGCGAGTCAATGGGATTTGTCTGAAAGGCAGAATGTGAGGTGCTCTCAGGACTAATAGGTCAGGTCAGGTTGCACTGGACTGATAGTGGCCACAGGCTAATCACGCGTCCAGAATTCCTTCGGTGGTATGCCCTGGAGTGTGCGTTCACCTCTGCGATTGATCGGTTTCTCCTACTATCTGCAAAAAGAGAGAAAGAGAGACTATACTTCTCGCCGTGTCGGCGAGAGACCTTTGTTGATGAAGCGTTCCACATTACGCAAAAACAATTTANCAGGGAAAAGCTCCAACCATCTGGCGTCCAGAGCTTTTTTAAAGGCCAGGACACTTGACTGCATAATCGGTTCCAACGGTAGCTTATTCCAATTATCCACTACCCTATTAATAAAGAATTGTGCCCGTAAGTTCAGCCTAGAACGCTGTTTCATGAGTTTGAGCTCATGTCCACGCGTTCCTTGGTGCGGGGCCTCAGTGAAGAAGGACCCAGGATCTAAACAGAGCAAACTTTTCTCAATCTTGAATACTTCGATGAGGTTTCCGCGCAATCTCCTTTTTTCTAGTGCAAAAAGACCGAGGGCGTACAACCTNTTCCCCGCATACCCTCAACCATCCGTGTTGCCAGTCTCTGAACCCGCTTCAGACAGGCGGCGTCCTTTTTGTAGAAGGGCGATCAAGCCTGCACACAGTATTCTAGGTGAGGCCTTACGATGGCTTTGTAGATGGGTATAAATACATCTGGTATTTACCCTTAAACTGTTTCAGGGAATATAGAAGCCCAACAGTTGTATAGAGCCCTCTTAAAGGCTATGAAGTTCGTGCAACTTACTGCATCCTCGGGTAGACTATTCCAATAAGGTGCGTAATACCTTACCTGTAAAAAACTTGGCTCGAATGTCCAACCTCACAAGACTAAGTTGCCCCCTAGTGCCACTTGAAGGGATAATTTGGAACATATCGTCAAAGTTGAGTCTGGAGAACGGTTATGATCCTAAAGATTTCCACGCGACCCCCTCTGATTCTCCTTCTTGCCA